AAGCAATGAATAAATAATATAAAAAAAAAACAAGAGTGTAAAAGATTAAAATCTATGTGTGTAAATATTTCTTAAAAGATTTTTTTCTATATATACATGCAAAATTCATTCATTCTCATTCATTTATACATACATACTTTGTAGGTATTTTATTATTTGTGTTCTCTTCATTTTGTTACAGAAAGAGATTAAAATGGCACAGTACAATATAAACATGGATTTGATGTATTTCTTATTTGAAATCTCTCTTAAGTCATTCTATGTGTGTATGTATAAAATCCTATTAAAATCGAGGTGATATTTATTCAAAGCAAGAGAATCAAAGAAAAAATTTGTATTTTTTTTTTAAAATAGGAAAAAAAAATTTGTTATAATAAAATGAGAACTCATTTTTAATATCCTGTACTTAAAGTATAGTAAAATATAAAATAGTCACTGATGTATACACACAATATTTAAACTTATATTATATTATATATGTAAAGATTCAAAGGTAGTGGGGATATATCAGATATGGGGAACCTTTTCAAGTAGCAGTAACAACGGAGATTCATAGACCACAATACCATAGCTTTTGCAATCCGTAAATATAATTTAGAGAAGTTTTCAATGAATAAGGAGGCCTCGAAAGAAATCTAAAAAACGTAGCAAGCGATGTCGGGGTTGCATTGTCCCCCCTCTGGTATTCATGCTAGTTTTCTTCTGTACTGAAAATAGAAAAATCTATGTTGATTTTCGTATTTTGATAATGTTTTAAATATCTTAGAAAACCTTCTCTGTCTTGTTCTATTCCGTATTTTTCTTATTCAAAGGTTGTTATACTACATTTTTTTTGCGCTTTTTATTATTCTTTAACTATACTATATAAATATGTTTCCACTTCCATCACATTCTGTGTGTATTTAGGAAAAACTTATTAAAGGATTAACTTTTGTTTATAGTCAAATGCAAGTCAATAGTGAAATACAAGAAAAAAAACAGAAAACAAACCTAATTCCAGTCACTTATGGTGTCATACAAAATTGTCACATACATTCAACAATTTTCTCTTCTTCTATTATTTTTATTATTATTTTAATGTTTTTTCTATTCCTTTGTATTTTTTATGTGTGTTCTAGAAAAAAAAAAAAAATTTAAACAAACAATTTTTTTTTATTGAAAGTTATGCAAGTGTTAAAAAGGATATTAGGAACATGTGACTAAACAAAGTTTAGATTTACATGCAGAAAATAATTTATTAAAGAAGTAAATTTTTTTTTTCCTCTTGGTTTTTTTTTCCAGGATTTACTTGCAACAAAAATGATGAGGATTTTGAATCGCTTTATCTGAACCGAAACGAGGAAAATTTAATTTTTTTGTTTTATTTTTTAGGTGCAAAAAAAAAATTGAATTAAGCTTGGAAATTATTACTTGTTTATGTTTTCTTTCGCCTGATATGGTTTTTATTTTTTGAGTTCAAGTGACAATAAAAATCATTTTAGTGAATACATAAAAGGGGCTTACGGAAATTGGCACATTGAGCATGAATAATTCTTTATAGTAAACTAAGCTTGCATACATTAAATATGAAATATTTAGAAATAAGAGGAAAGAATTTTTAGTTTGTAATCTTTCTAAGATGCTTAATTTACAATTTTATAGTATAAATTGCGTATTTTGATAACATGCGCCAATTTTATTATTTAATTTTTGTAAAATGTGAATGCATATCGTGTAAATGATATACGATTTTTAGTGAAATTATTGAAAGTATAATAGTGATTTTAAACTTATTTAAAATAGTAACTGAGGATAATAGTGATTGGTAACACTACATAATGTATGTTTAAAATAAACCTAAAAAAACTTCACTAAAATTTTTAATTTTACTCAACTTTTGATTAAATAACAATTGATATTATTATATTCTTATTAGATCAATATGCAATTACTTAAGTTTGTTTAGTAAGGGTGCTAGAAATCGTATATTTTAAAAATTCAATCATATTGGAATATAAATCAAAAGTGTTTTACAACACTTTGAGGTTTCTTTTAACTCTAAGCCTTGTAGAAATTCTAAAAAACTAAATTTAACAATTAAATTTTATATTATTTGTAATTTAATGAATAATACGACTGAATATTGCAGTATGTATTAGTTTTAAATAATATACTAAAATTGCATATATTTAGGGGCAATATTAAATGCATGTTTTGTGTATTACTTCTGAAATTTAAATGTCTAGTTGCTTATGAATCCTACAAATATAAAATTTAGATTTCAAATATGATTAGAGTTTACAATAAATTATTAAATAATAATTTTTGTATATAAAATGAAAGAAACCAAAAATTATAAATTATTTTGAGTAAAAGCGATGCAATTTTTGAAACTTTAAAATTTTATACAAAATTTCCTTATTTTCAAAATGTAAATATTTTATATTTGATCATTGCAAATAAATTATTGCAAATATTGCACAAATATATCTTGAATACAAAACATAAATCAATAATTTTATTATTTATTATTTAAAAAATTATTTTGTTTTTCTATTTATTATAAATAAAATAATTTAATGTTATAGAAATACAATATGAAATTTATTAAAATTTTTTTTTTTTTGGAAATATTATGACGACTAAGTTTTATAATATAGAATATAGTTATAAAAAATATTCTTATTTTCCAGTATATGAGTAACATATTATAATTTTCAAACAATTTAAAACAATTTCAGTTAAATTTATGCTTGAAAATAAATAAATAAAATTTCAAAAAAAAAAATTTTTAATTTATTATTGCATATTTCATGTGTATGATGCAGTGCATTTATATATGTATAAGAAAATATAATAAATCATAAAAAATTTATTATAAAATTGAAATTTTCAAAGTCAAAATTAAAATATAATAAATGTAGATACATATATAATGAAAAAAAAGGAACTTTTTTAATACTAAAACAATTAAAAAAAAAATTTAAAAATTTAAAATGAAATTTTATAATATTTTTTGTCATAATATTCTGTTAATATTTTTTTGTATAGTACCAATTTCTGTAATAATATTGTATAATGTTAAAGTCTTAAGGGTCCGTTTGAAATAAATGAAAGAACATGAAGAGTTGAAGTTCATTAAGAAAATTTGAGGGTTTTTGTTTATGCACACCGAAAGTTCTAAATTGGAATTCAAAATTTCTAAGCAGCAAAGTTAAATAATATGCAAAAACTTCAGCTAAGTTTTTTCATGTTAAGGCAATTTGCAAATTCTGAAATTTCTAAATAATCAGTCGTCCGAAAATGATCTAAATGAAAAATTTAAAGTTTATATTTTAAAAAAAAAATTAATGAGATAGTGAAAATCTTTAAATTAAATCTCTACGATCTATTTCTGACATTTCTATATTACATAACAAATTTTCGAATGCATTTTAAAATTGCAGCGAGATATTTTCGAACGGTCTACACTATCAGAATATGCAGCGTAAAATTTTCGAACGTCCTACGAGTTGAACTATTCTAGAAATTGACTAAACAAAAAACCTTCGTTTTTTAAAATAAATAAGAAAAGAAGATTGATCCATATAATTGAAGAATAGTTGTATAGCGGAGCAAAAAGAATGTATCTTAAAACAACAATATTTAAACCATTTTATCATTAAATTCGATTCTTAGACTCTTTAATATTGTAAGATCGAATAAACTCGACCAGATAATAAGATTCTTTTGTATTTTACTTTATATGAATTTTTTTTCCAAAATCCTTTAATTCTTATGATCAACTATTAAAAAATTCACAATATTTTGCATTGTTCGCCGTTTGTACCTTTGAAAAATGCAACTATTTTTTATATTTAACAATTTTTCGTTTTGTTTTTTAAATAAATGTACATAAATTTTACCGTAGTTATTCAAAAATATTTAGAAATTTAATTAAAACAAATAAAATTTTCAATGGAATAGAATATCTTTTTTAAATAATTACAAAAATGAAAATTATATTTAGAAAAAGTGATTTAGTTTTTATCCTTTCAAAATATTGGATGAACACAAGCTCAACTATTTCAACTTTTGCTTCATCTCTCGCAGCATACATTAAAATACATTTTTGTTTTCTAATTAAGTATATAATATTTTACATATTTATTACATAATAATATTTTTTATAATTTTATTTTGCATTTACAATTCATCTTTTGTTTTATTGTCTTAGAGAATGGAAAAAGCAAAAATACAAAATAAAAAATTTCGGTTGAATTTATTTTTTGTATCACAAGAAAATTAAAAAAAAAATTATTTTAAAAAAATATTTAATGAAATTCAAAATTTATATTAAAAATATAATTAAAATATTGTTCTTATTAAATTAATTAAATTATAAGATTAAGATTGTTTTAAAAGAAATTAACGAGAAATGTTCAAGCTATTCAACGCTATTTTTAGAATATTTTACTGAATTTAAGAATGAAAAAGCCAAAATTAAAAAATTAATATTTTAGAATTAAATTAGATGAGATTGGATATTACTTTCAGAATTATTTATTTTAAACATAAATATTTTATTTATATTTTATAATATCTCAGTTCACTTGTAAATTAGCGTGTCTGTACGAAGCAAATTATAGAAAAGGATCAAATTCATCTTAAGAAAACCCACGTTACATGAATACGAATGTGGTTTCAAAAAATTTCAAAATTATTATAGTGTCCTTTCGGTTATGAATGCAAGTGTATAAACAAAATCACGATGGTAACAGTAGCAACCACAGTAATTTTTTTTATAAATACATATAACACAAAATAGTGATGCCAACAATTACAGCACATAAGAATGCCGTTAAGAAATGCTATTTTTTTTTTGAATTTAGCTTAAGACAACACTCCTCGAATTTCAAAGATATAATAGCCTACATTCTGTTAATCGCATATATAAAAAAACTTAAATATTTTTGAATATCCCACGACGCGGTTAGAAGAATGTGGGTGAATTTGATTTTGAACTTTGATTTTTCAAATTTAAGAAGAAATATTGTAAATTAAGAAGGAATATTGAACAATTCAAATCTAAAGAAATATTGTTTAACATTACAAAATCTATCGTGAGCGTATGAGGAGCCTATTTCTGATTTTTACTATGTTAAATTTTAAAATGCATATATACGCGTATAACAAAATGAATGCATTCTACGTATTTAAACATAATGAAACTTTATTTTTTACTTATTCGTAAATTCTGTTATACTTAATTATTATGAGTAATTTACAAATATGAAAGAGTTCTAACTGATATTAGTAAAAATATTATTTTTCTTTTGAATTTCTAATAAAAATGGTATAATTTTTAAGCTACATAACCTATTTATATGTATGAATATAATCTAAATGTATATATACTATGAGATAATATTTATAATTAATTTATTATAATTATACATATATATATATATGTATATATAAGGGCTACGAATGTAACATTTCTGAATTATTATTGAAATGACCATTCCTAGATGCTGATGAATTTTGATATAATGTTCCTCCACTTTTATTTTGTGATGAAATATTTCTAATTGAATTTCCAGATGAAGATCCTCCTCCACTTGTTACTGCTGTTGGTATTTTTCCTATTGAATGTAAATTTCTAAATAATCCCGATGGAGCTGAATTGGACGATTTCAATTTTGTTATTGACTGTATACCCGGTTGTGCGGTAGTTATTGTTGTAGCTGGTCCACCAGCTAATGTTGCATATGATGCTGAAATTTCATTAATTTTATATGGTAATTGTGATGTATTATATTTAGCTATTGATGATGGTCCCCATGATACTTGACGTGTTAAACGATTTCTCATCATTGGTGGTTTGCTATTATTGTAATTTGCTGTTGATGACAATTTTGCTGTTGTTGTTGCTGATGATGGTGTTGATGATGATCTTGATGATTTTGTTGAATTTCCTTTTATTTGAATTTTTATCTGAATAAAAATTTTTCGAAAGAAAAAAATAATGTTGGCATAATATTTGATGAATTTCTATTTACATGGTTGGTTGTTTTGAGAAAGAATTTCTAAAGATTTTGTGCAGCATTCACAATAGTATTTATATTAGCAGCATCATTCCATTTATAGCAAGAAATTTATTTCGATTTACTTGATTGTTACGAGTATATTGGTATAAGAGATCATGCTTTTAATATTATTTTTAAAAATAAGATTTATTTTTTACATGCATTGTGCATAATGTACAGAAATAGTAGATACATTAAACATTCCACTTTATTTCAAAGAATTATCGTTGAGCGTCTACAAAATGCCATGCTACTACTTCCATATAATGAAGTGATGTGCCACGCTGTTTTTCCTTATCTTTAATAGTACTGTTTTCAAATAAAAACAGAGCTTACATCTTATATTTCACTTAACTTGAAAATGTAAAATTTACAATATTTTTAAAATCTTAATTCATAAATATTTTAATTTTGAATAATACAAAGGAAATCTTATCACAGTTTGGGAGCAGAAGAAGTCTGATATTTACTGGTACAGCAATAGAGTATTAAACGTTTTACAGCAGTTTTTTTAATTAAATTTGTTTATTGTTTATACAAATCGAATTTCAAATTTTAGGAAAATTGTAATCATCCAATACCAAAGAAACTAAAACACAATAAATTTTACTTTGACTACATTTTTAACTATGTATAACAGTTTTCTTAAAGGGCTGTTAATAGCAACATCTTATAAGATTATTATCGAATATTCAAAAATTCATTAAATCTGGAATTTTTAAATAATATGATAATTAACAAAACAAGAAAAGGAAAAAAATTGAATAATAATCAATTTTCATTTATAAAGATTCTTAACTATGTTAGAAGAGGAGAAATTTTCCATTGAATATTCTATAACTTTTTATTTTATTAAAAGTTATAGAATCTAACAACCTAAAATAAAAGAAAAATTAATTCAAAAAAAAAAATTCAAAAAGTTTAAAATTATGCAAATTATTTACAAAAATAATTGAAAGAAAATAATAATTTTTGTGGAATATTTTAAAATATTTATTCCTTTTTCAACTTTTCAGAATAATAATAATTTATTATTTAATATTTAATGTAAAAAAAAAAGATTCAGCTGCTAGAAAATAGAGATAAAATATGCGAAGTTTTTCCAAAATTAACAGTTAAATAGAAATTAGAATACTTTAAATATAATGTAGACAATGTACGGGCCCGGTTCTGATTTGTTGGGCGCCACACGCTATTACCAAAAAGTTCACTTTCTCCCTACTAATATATATGTATATAGGAGGGAGATATAGAAGGATAACATAATTTTTAAATACAAAAATTTTTTTTTTCTAAAATATATAATGTAAAATTTAAAAAAAAATATTATTTTTATAAAATTAGATAATTTTTTAAAATTTTCCAATGGCGCCCCTGTCTTCAGTCGCTTATTGCAAGTCCTTACTTTGAATATGTGATAGATCCGGCACTGACTATATGTATACTATTATAAAAGTTTCATAGAAATTTTATGAAAAATTTATGATTTTTCTTAATGAATTCTAAACTTAAAATTAAATGCTAAACAATTTTAAAAATAAAATTTTTCTTATAAATCTAAAATCGATATTTAATTGCTCAATTTTAATAAAAACATATATGAGAAGAGAGATGCGGGAGTGGGTCCATTAAAACTTGGAGTGAATATTGAAAAATTTAAAATTTTTAATAAAATTTCTGAATTTTCGTTATGACTGCAACGTAAGTACGCATAGAAAAATATTTGAATACAAGCATATTTACAAATTTAATTTATAATTTATTTCCATTGAGCTATATCAAAAAAGTTTTTTTTTTGATTTTCAAAATAATATTTAAATTTCTAAATATTTATAACTTTTAATTTAAATTTATAATAATTTATATGTATAAAAAAATATGAATAATAAACTTTAAGTTCATTAAAATTGGATTTATTGTATACGTATGTGAAAATTACTTCATTAGATTTAATTTATTTTGAGAATAAATGAAATTTTTTTATAAATATTAAAAACTGTTTGGCTTAATATAAAATCTTAATTCATTTTCGTCTGGTATAAATTAATTTAGGGTCTGTGATAAATTTTTAATTACTTCTTATGAAATATCAAAGCAATAATTCACCCAATGCTCGGGAATTTGTAAGGTAAGTATGAGAATATAGTGGAACTTCTTCAAAGTGTATTAAATAGAGCATTTCTGAATTTCTCCAGAACAAGGAGAGGAGTAGAGAAACGCATATTCTTAGAAAAATATGTAATTCCTTTCAAATCTCGTTCTAAGAACACATTCAGTAATTCATTAAACTTGAAAATTACCGAAATCAATTCAGAATTTTTCACATGCACAGTATAAAACAAATTGCAAGACTATATTTCAAAACTTAAAGCAAAAAAATTCAATTTTCTTTTTATATTAAAATTTAAGGATTAAAATCCTTACTATGCATTTCACTTGTAGGTTTTGTATAAATTAATAAGCTTAATTAAAAAAATATATAAATTTAAACTCTAACATTTCTAGTTTTAAAATTTAATATTGATTTGGTAGATTTATAATGTTCGCCTGGCTCTTTCTCAGTGCGGAATTCCTGATTCCAGCATAATTATATCAAAAAAAGTTAAAGTGTATTCAAAATAAAAAATTCAACTTCAAAATTCAGGTTTTGATTTTCAAAATTTTTAATATTAAAATATTAAGGGAATTTATTTTTAACTTTTTTTTTTCTCAAAACAACCTTCACTTTTCAAATTCACCTTAATTATTTAAATTAATACTGCAAAAAAAATGTTGGTTCAAAATTTTAAAATTTTTATTTTTCAATATTTTAAGTTAAAAAATAAAACATTATGGAAAATACGGAAGTTTTATAGGAAAAAAGTTTGTTAACCTCAAGAAATTCACAAAAAAAAAATAATTTCAAATTTCTATACTTCTAGAGTTTATTAAACTTCTTCTTTTGAAAATGGTGGTTAAAAATCTCCTATTTTTTTAATTATTTTTATTTTCTATATTTTCTATTTTTTTTTTTAACAATAACAATGATAAATGGGTACGCATTTTCAACAACATTTCTCTTCTTCAATTTTTCTTTTTGTTTTCTTAAAGTGATGATATTTTGGTTTTAAGAATGAAGATAAAATGCACTGACAGAAAAGCAAGGGAATAAAATCTCTCATATGTGCAAGTACATGTAGCTGAATAGATATGGATTTTGTAAACTTTAAAATGAAAAAACAAGAACCCATAACAAGAAAACTAAATGCAAAACTTATATAAGAAATGTTTATTTTTTTTCATGACAATTGCATATGCTGCCACTTTCAGTTTTTTATTTGTAATATCACCCTAAAATGACTGTAATATTGCAGAGTTTAGAAATATAATGAAATTGCGAGTTCATGTCTTTTGTTTACAAAAATATAGGTATTTTTTTTTTTGTTTTACTTTATTTGTTTAAACCTTTTTTTGCTTGTTTTATTCAAATGGGTGTTGCAAAATAAACAGGAATAGTTTTTTCGTTGCTTTTATTGTAGAGGATTAAAAGCATAGTATTTTTTTTTATGTATGTGCAAACTTAGTTTGTTATTTTGGTTTCCTTGTTTAATTTATTGTTGAAGAATAAAAAAAAAAAAGAATATTTTTGAATGAGAAAAACAGGTGCCACATACATCCGGCTTTTCTAAAACAAAAACTTTGGATTAAATGTTTTTTTTTACTTGCCATTTGTGTTACGACTAAACGGGGAATTTCTTTTACGTAAAAAAATTTGATTTTAGAAACGACGACCACGTACAATTTTATTTTCAATTTTATAATTGAAATTATTTATGGAATAAATGTTGAGTTTTCAAACTTTTAACAGGATAATTATAATGGCTTTTGTTTTTTCAAAATTGTTTTGCAAAAACTTAGAATTTCTTTAGTTTTTAAATTAAGAATCTCATTGTTAAAAGTTTCTAATATGAATTTTTGGTTGGATGAAAATTAGTGGTTCTAATTGGAGGAAAAAAAAATTATTTTTTTAATCTAAACAATATGTCATAAGAATCAAGAGGTAATTATGAATTATGAGGGCTTAAAGTTGGTATATTCAAATAATAATTAAAAAAAATTAATTAACTGAGTAATAATAACGTAGTTCAACGAATAACCATGATACATAAATTAAACTGATTCAGGCGATTTCAAACCTAAGTAAAATATATTTCAATTTTAGCTAAATAGATAGATAATCAGCGCACCTGAGTAAAGAAAATATGTCCTAACTAATTTGCAACTCTAAAAGAGCAAATGTTTCTATCTGAATGGAAATCGGGAGGTTTTAAGACAAAATTTCTCGCATTTGAGTTGGTTAACAAAATATGATTTTCAAGTATTTCGTTGATAACATTCGACATTACTTGTAACTGAATTCCAGTTAAATATTTTTGAATTTAAGGAGAAATGTGTGTTATTTGTTATTAGTAACAAAAATGAAATTAAATTTGAATGCAAATTCTAATCGGAACTTAATCGACCTAATATCAATTTGTACAATTTGGTAAAATGTACAAAAATTACAAGGTTCCTTTATTCAGTCCCATGCAGTTTTTCCATTATCATATGAAAAAACTGTGGTACTTTTTCCTTTATGAACAATTATACCACAAATGAACAATTATATTTGGAAAATTTTCTACAGGATTTCATCGGAAATACTACTAATACTTTGGTTAAAAGTACAAAATCTAATAAAAAAATAGAATTAGGTAAAATAAATCAAGGTTTATGAGAAGAAAGTTTCTGTTACAGTCGGTAGTTTTGCGATTTCATAAATGCTAATACCTAAATGCTTACTGTTTTCCAAAAATTAACAAATAATTAATAGTGAAAGATAAAGTATCGCAAAAAAATTCATAATTAATATTGTAAATTTTCATTAATTACAATTTTTACAAAAAAATTTGAATATTTTCTATTATTCTATTTCTAATCACCCTGTTCATTTCTTAAATTTTTTATTTTCTTAATTCTTTCTCTAAATTTTCTCTTATAAAGAAGTTGAGTTAAAAATAAGAATTTTATAATTTTTTTTTTGTTTTTATTCTATTCTACAGAGTTTATGAGAATATAAAATTTACAATGTAAGTATGTACACGTCCAACAATATCATGAACATTATGATTCTAATGAACTTCTTATTGTTATTATCCTTACACCCGGTTTGTTATCCTTTTCATAATCCTTTGAATTTCATATTTTTATGTTTTGTATGTTTATGTTTTTTTTTGTTTTATAATATTAAATATGACAAAGCATGCAACAAACAAATAGAATTTTTTTTTGAAAAATTTTTAAATTTCCTCAAAAATATATGCACATATTCTTATACACATATGAAATTATGTATGTGCTCGTGTATGAATAGTTGGGTATACGAAAAGAAGAATGTAAGTAGCAGTAATTCATAATGGAAATTTTCTTTTAATATAAAGGAAAAGTGATGAGAAAACTTAAAAACGCATGATAACCTACAAAAGAAAAAAAAAGTTGAAAAACAAGAAGCAAACAATAATAAATTGTAAGGTTTTAGTAACTAAAACCAGGAGAATAGTGGAACTAAGTTGAATTCTTATAAGACAAAAATAATGAAAAAGAATAAAAGAAGTGTGCCTTAAATTGAAAAGTTTCTCAACCAGTAGATTGTTTTCAACTCTTTTTGTCTACATTTTTTAAGAAATTCAAATGGATCGTATCTTGTTTTGGATTTTCCTGAAAAGGTGGTAAAAAAAGAAACGAAATAATGGAGATATTATGTTTGTAAACATGAAAACTTTAAATAGGAAACAAAAAAAAAACTAAATAAAGGAAATGGAAACACATACACAAACTATACAATTTAAGGATAAAGATTTAAAAAAAAAAAACAAAAGAATATAAAAATAAAATCGGTTGCAGAATCAACGTGACCTAACATAACTATTTTTATATTGGGTTTTTGTTTTGTAGTTCTAGAAACGAAAACTTTTGTTTTATAATATTTGTGTGTTTTTTAATAAAAATATATTGTTTTGCATTTTCATATACTTAAAATCTAAATAAAATATAAATTTTCAGTGTTTTACATTTAGTTCAATCTTTTTGAATAAATGTGAATTGCATTTGAATTGTGAATTTTTTAAAGTTTATATGGGCAAACTATGTATAATAGGGTACAATCCTATGATTTATTTAAATATAAATAATTTTAATTTAAAATACTTTATTAATATTAGTACCCAGTTAAATTGTAATTGTAATTATAATTTTATGATATTTTAGTTCAGAAATAATAATTTTTTGAAAATTTTAAGTTACAATTCTTGAAATTCCAATAAAAATCATGAGGGACTGAAATAAAGTAGTTTGATTCACAGACCTTATTTTCTTAAGCTTGATAATTTTGTCGTAGAACCATAATAATTAATATTTGATATGTGATTTGGGAGTATTTTTATATTTAAGTAACTTTCAATTGTATGGAAATTTTGTATTTAAAGTGTATAAACTAAATTTTTATTTTGTAATACATTTCCTATAAAATTTTTTAATACTTATACTTTATTTCAAGAAAGTCCATAAAAAAAAACAAAGAATTGAATTTGAAATTGTTTTTTTAAATGAGACCTCTTCAGCCTTTTCAAGTGAAAAATATTTTATATGGGGTTTTCTTCAAAATTGTTTTAAAAATTATGGAGAATATTTTTTTGTTCCTGTTTTAGAAATAAAAATTTTAAGATTAAGTGTAAATTTGCTTTCTTTATCCTTACATTAAATTGAAGAAAGGATGTATCATGGAACTGATGTATGTATATAAATAAAAATTTACATTACGAATAAATATCTTATATGTTACTATTAAAATATATACCAATTATACAAATAATGACCGAAAACCAACCTAACTTTTAATTTATTAAATTAACCAACTGAAATTTTTTATAAAATATTAAAATAATATGGTCTTTGTAGACTAAAGGACTGTACATAAGAAAATAAAATTATAGTGAAATACAATCATTTTAATTATATATGTATAAGTACGACTAACATTTGCTTTAGGCTAAAAAATCACAGCGCTCCTTCAGTTGAGATTTATTTTAAACTCAATAAACTTACTCTTAATCTAAATTTTTTCCTGGATTTGAAAGCTCAATGAATATTTTGATTTTTCAGTCAATATTTTGTTTATAAAATAATTTAAAACTACACATTTAATTTAGTAAACAGTTTAGACTGCTTCTTTCGATTGAAAAGAATACTTATTCAAATTTAAAATGAAAAACTAATAGTTTAACAATGAAGTTCTTAAATACAAAAATTTTGATTCTTAATTACGTAAAATACCGACTTACAAGATTAGTTAACAGTTTTGTGTAAGTTATACAATTACAAAAATCTTATTATAAAATTATATTAAAATATTAATTTAAATATGAAGTTATTTACAACATATAATAAATTTACTATAGATATTACATGTTAATCAATTAATGAAAATTAATTAAATAATGTTAATTACGTGGTTAAAATAAAATATAATTATGTTAAACATCATTTTAAACTGTTATATAAATTACGAATAAATATCGTACAAAATTTACAAAATGCAAAGAATTTATAATAAAAATTTAAAATAGTATTTGTTATAAACGCCTAATTTTATGAAATTTTTACAATATTGCTTTAATAAATTTCGAGATATGAAACTACTTATATGTATAATCATGTATGTATGTATATGCATGACTCAAATTAGCTTACCGAATTTTCATTTGCTTCGTTATTAGTGTGTTGTGTTTGTCGAATCTCATCTGATTCTATCTCATTATAATCATGATCTCCTCCTCCACCACCACTATCAACATCAGATGTACTATCATGATTCGAATTAAGAGATGATTTTCTTGATGTTGGTATACCACCATTTTGTTTTTTAACATTATCATTTTGTATTTTTTGATGTTGCCGTTCTACAGGCTTATGTTGTTTTATTTGTTCTTGATTAGCTTGAGTTGTTATTGGTATTGTATTTATAACTTCATTACTAGCACCATCAGTAGTTGTCGGAAGTATTTCATCTTTATTTTCGGCATTTAATGAAGATTTCGCAACAACGGAATTCGGCTCTACAAAATTAGAAATAAATTAATGTGAAATGTTTATACTATGGGTAGGTTTTAATTTTATATAGTTGGCAAACAAATTTAATTTTAATATTCAAAAAAAAAAAAATATCGACCTTTATTAGTGTCAGAAATAAGTGGAACATTTTCATTGATTTCATCACCGCTATCTTCATCTTTACTATTTTTTCGTTTTTCATTTAATTGCTCTTTTTTAACATTTTCATTTTGATTTTTTTCTTCATCTTTAACATTTTCTACTACATCATCGTCTTCTTTATCATCTTCTTCACTATCTTCTTCAATAATTTCTGGTGGAATACTACCATTCAATGAAGTTTTTGGTGTCAAACTTGGTTTCATTTGCAATGGTGGTTGATTGTGTGATGCTGGTGGCTGATTTGCACTACCATTCTTAAGAATACTAACCAATTGAACTGAATTTGGTTCTTTTTTCTCATTTCCGGCATTTATCTAAAAATCAAAAAATTTTTAAATTAATTTATTTAAAAAAGAAAAAACAAGTGCAAAAATATTTAAACGATTTACAATTGGAGTGAAATTAATTGGCTTTGGTCGAACTCCTGGAGATTCATGCATTTGATTTGCCTGTTCTTTTGACCAAATAATATCTTCATCTGTTTGTCTTTCAATACGTTTTTTATATTCTAAATGACTACGATAAACTTCAATTAAACAGCAAATGACAATGACAACAAATAACGCTGTTAATACAATAAATACAACTTGTGTTTGTTCTTCTTTCGTTGATGTATCAAAATATTGAGCTATGTATGCTATTTTAACAGGAGGTTCTTCAACCCACGTTTTATCTGATGCCTGGAAAAGATTTAAGATGAATTATCTTTGTTATACAAATATAGATGGAAAGAATATTTTCAAGCACTTTCAATTTTAAATGAAAATTTTGGGAATAATAAAGTAAATAGAAAATGTTACCCAATTTCAAAAATTTATTTTGAAATACTTGAACGGGTTTTCAATGAAAAATAGAATTTTTTTATGTTGTAATTCTACTTTTCAAAATTGAAACTCTTCTGTAAATACTTTTTCAATTTTCAATAAAAAAAAAATTATGATGTGATTTCATTATAATTTTACCACAGTAAAGTTTAATGTTGGTTCTGGCATTAAATGTTCACTTCGTTCAAAATGTGAATTACATTGAGCACTTCTAACTCCCTGGGAATTCACTACTGTTATATTATCAGGGGCAGATTTTGTAAATAACATATATTCTTCTAGGGGTTTCATAGAGTATTTATTGACTTGAATGAAAATATCTGAAAATAAGAAAAATAAAGTAAATTTAATTTAATAAAATCAAATCAAAATATTAATTATTTTAGAAACAACTTAATTCCTCTACATTTTGTAATGTCACATTTGCAAGGGTTAATCAAATTTTTTCACATTTTAGAAAACAAAATTTTGCGATTATCAACATTTCTTTACTCACACTTCTTGTATTTCATTAACAACCTCAATCATGTTCCCTCTTAATTAACATTATACTCTCTGAAATGTCTATTATTCTCATTTTATTCCAACATATTTTGTTCCTACACTCCAATATTTGAAATCGAATCTCCTATTTTAATTTTTAATAGCACGCCCATTATAATAATTGAGATCAATTAATAATTTTCTCTTTTACTAAATTTTTTTTTTATAAAAAATTTGAAAAACCATTTCTTAATATTTTACACATTAAGTAGATTGGATTAAAACCTAAATTTGTAGGTGTATGGCTATTATTAATAAATTGAAATTACAAATTGAACTCATCACCTTATATGCTATTAGAAATCAAATTAAAATAACCGACCCATATCAAAAGACTTGTTTTTTTTTTATAGTCAAAAAAAACTTAAAATATGTTTTGTGCCAACCTACATTGCAAGGTATAAGAAAATTTGGTTGTTAGCTTAGTTGTTCCTTAAATTTATTAGTGGTTATATTTGAGATTTGCTTCAATGTTTTTTTTTGTGTTTCTCTTTGCCTAACCGTATATGTAGAAAAGGTAGCCACAAATCTAAAAAGCAAAATGTTAAAATGTTGCAAAAAAAAAAACAATAAAACCAAAACGTTTTTATTTAAAAAAGAGAAAAAATGTTGGAAACCATAGTTGGCCTCCAACATATTAAGATATTCTTCTGTTCGAGGAAAAATTTTAAAAAGACTGGCGGGTTAATATACAAGGTATATATTGGTTATGCTTTGATGTAAATTAAGCTGGAAAATGGAATATTCAAAATGGAAAAACAAGAAAATGTAAAAGTCAAAATTGACTTTTGACTTGAATGAGAAGTTGATCTACAACTTGGTTGGCAATTTAATGAAACATTTTATTAAAATTAAAAAGAGTTTACTTTCTTGAAGAAACAATGAACAAACAACACAATTTTATTTGCAATAATCTTCTTTAACAACAAAGGGTTTAATGGTTCTATAAGGCTTAAATAATTACAATTATTACTCTCCAATTTATTACATTTAATTTGTTAGATTTTGCTTTATTTTGCTAATCGAACATGTTTGATTGGAATGAAATGTAAAACACGTAAATATGAATACAACTTTTATAACGAAATTGTTGCCCAAAAATTGAATTTAAATTCCTTATACGAAAATTATCTTTGGAATTCAAACAAACAAAATATAGAACAATGAAGTAAATAAATCAAACATGTTGACTTGCCAGTTTGAAGTTTCTGTTAAGAATAAAATGTTGAGCGGTTTTTGGAATATTTTTATATCTGAGTGTCAATGCGAAAGTGGAAATCTGCATTAATTCAGCAAAATATCTTCAAGATTTCATTTCAATTGCCATTGAGGCACTTCAAACCAGCTTTTGTTGGTTTTTATGTGATACCTTGCATTCGGATTATCAAAATTATAATATTTTTAATAATCATACAAAAAAAAAAATTTAATAAAAAATTTTTCCAAATTGAAAATTAAATAAAAAATATCAGGAAAAACCATTCAATTTTTCTTTTTCTTCTTTTCAAATTTTATGTTATTCTGGTTTTCATCTAGCTATTCCTTTTTTCTTTTCTTGGTTTCTCATTATTATATTGACCTTAAATTATTTGAACCGAAACGTAAATTTGATTCAAGGGAATAATAAATTAACCTTTAAAATTGGATATTTAAAAAAATAAAAAGTAACAAAAAAATTAAATTTTAATAAAATAAGAGAGAGAAAGAGGAAAAAAGTTTTTGCGTTTAATAGCCTTATTATATAATTATTAAGTTCTACTAGTGTATGAGTTAAGGTTGTACACACAAAATTTCATTTTTTATCATATATACAACTAATAATATAATTTTATAAACATAAATACGTGCACAGTTTTAAGGATTACTTTAAGAAAAAACAAAAAATATAAAATGAATTTTACATATGTGAGTTCATATTTGGAATTATTGTATTTTTGGGAAACGTTCTTTACACAAAAACCCATAAATAATGTTGCGGTCTCGACCTTCCTCATTAAAAGGACATTAGAAGCATTTAAGGGATGTATGTTCTTCTATTGTATTTCTATATACACATTTTATACATATATTTACAATAAATATTGTAAATGGTTTTAATATACTCTTATTTATGTTCAACATTCATAAAATATTTTCTATTTAAGTTTTTAGATTTTTTTGGGAAACGTTTTGAAAATATTTGAGAATGTATTTTTTTTTTGTGCGATTTTTAATGTTCTGATACTTGTTCGACCTTTTAGCTTGTTATTTGATTCACCTTTTCATTTCATGTTTTCTTTTTTGCCTCGTTTCTAATAAGAATTTCATTCAGTATATTTTATTCGTTTTTGACTGAAGTTAAACGGTAATATTCGGAATACGAGAAAAAAGAGAAGTGAGTACATTCATAATTTTTTTTTTTTGGACTAAAGTCAAGTCAGTTTCTACAAGACGATAAATTTTTTGGCACTTAAAATAAATACATGTTATAAATATAGTTTAAGATTGCCAACTTGTTAATATGTACATTTTTTTTGAAATTGTTGAAACAAGTGAAAGAAATCAATGTTGAGGAGTGTTTTTTATATTGTCTTATGTAACTTCCAAAAAGTAAAAGTTATTCCTGGCGTGAAATTACTTTATCATGGAAATTTTCAAAAATACTTTTCCTGGATATACCAATTAACACTACTCGTCTATCTCGGATATTCGAAAATAAAAAGCATCTCCTTTATTGCTAGACAAATGCATTGGCAGCCTTCATGGAACTGGTATGTTTCTGGATATAATGGAGTATAACAATGCGTTCTTGGGCTCATATATATTGCAACGTTGGGTTTTTTTTTCAGCTGAAAGGACTAAAGAATTATTTTTAAATAACACGATTTTAATGCAGTATGGCAAGTTCAAAATGTGTTTGTGTTACCTGCGATATTTCTTTTATTTAAGTACCTTTATAACTTTTAGTAACTCAACCTGAACATAATATTAACAATACCCTTGATAGAAGAAATTATTACTTAAATGTTTTGCACATAATTTTATTTTTAACAATGATATTTTTTTTCCTGTTGTTTTTTTTTTGTTTCTTGTGAAAAAATAACAATATTATAAGGTTGTAAATTTCCAAAAAGAAAATAAAATTTCTAATTTTACAAAGTCGAAAATTTTACTTGAATTTTAACATTCTTTTTAACGTGTAGGTTCTGAATATATAACAGAGTCTTAGTAAAATATTTTGAAAATATCTTGAAGCCTATAACTATGCTTTAATTTTTTCTTATTGTATACATATTTTCTCTATGTTAATAATTTCTAAGAAACTAGAAATATTCTTAGAAAATAATAAAAATATACAATTTATTTTAAATATTATATATGCATGAAAATATGTGCATATGTACATATGCAAATAGGTATTCAAAGATATTTATTAACATAGAGTTAAAAAATGAATAAATAAATAAATATAAGAAAAGGAATAAAATTTATGAATGTAAAATGAGAGAAACCCTTGTCAAAATAAAGATGAATTTTTTACTTTTTTTCCATAGACTAGAACTAGATATAATTTACGCAAAATTAACCACTATTAAGAATTATTATAAGCTTTGAAGGTTGAAGACAAATATTCGATATGTAAAATTTTTAAATTGAAATAATTTCTAAATAATAATTATTTGCTCTGGGGAATTATTTTAACCTTCACGTAGTGCATATGACCTCTATTTCTTAAAGCAAATAAATATTTGCTCTCATGGGCATGTTATTAGTTTTAGAAAAATAAAACGCAACCTTAAGTTAAACAAGTTCTATAAGGAAAAGCATTTAACGTGCTTTAGAGCTGGTGTAAGTAAATTGCATTGATAGCTCGCATGCGGGTTTTCTGCTGATTTTGAGAGTAAATTGCATTTGCATTTTTTGAGCTAAGTGCTACTGCTTTTTACCTTACGCATAAATATTCTTTAAAACACTTTATAGTGAAATAAAAACAAATTATTTTGTATTTCAACTTGAAAGTTTTTTATTTTATAATTTTCGATAATTTGCTTAAAAATTCTTTACGAAAAATATGGTTTAGTTATGAAAATTTATTTTGTTTTTTTTAGACCGTTTAACAAAATTAATAATTCAACTCTTATGTTTAATAGGATAAGTCTCCTTTGGGAAAACTTTTAAAGGTAAACGAGTGAGACCAATAAAATAAAATCGAGAAAGAAAAAAATAAAAGCCTAGAAACCAAAACCTTAATTTGGAAAGCAAAAAAAATTATTTTTCTTTTAATGATTTCATACTTGAGTACACATTAATATACAAATCGGTATTATTATTCCAAGAAATTAATATCTTTTAAATTAAGAATTATATAATTTTTAGGTTTCTACTTTTAAGAATTTCTTTTATTTTATAATAGAGAACTTACTCGACAAACAACCACTATAACTTTTATAAGCAGCAAATCTTGTATCAGTTGTATTTGTACCACCAATTTGTACTTCATTAACACCATAATCAGCCATTAATTGCATTAATGGTGGTGCCGGACCATCAATCAATTCAACTTTTTCTCTATCAATTAATAGACTAGCTTCAGTACCATTACGTATATAATAAACTGAATGTCTTGCATTATTTAAAAAATTTCTTCTTACTTCAGCTCTAACAAAACCATTTTCACGATCTTCTTCGAATATTAAATAATTATCAGTTGATATACCAACCATTAAATAATAGCTACGTTCATTAATTGTTTGTAAAACTAACATAACACGTTCTGTACGCCTTAAATCATTACTTGAAAATGCCAATTGTAATTTAACATTATTAACTGGTCCATTTAATTCAAATTTTCTTTGTAATATTGATTCACCACTAAAATCAGCACCTTTTTCATCAGAACAAAATTCACCCATAAAACTAGTATGTTCACAATCACAGGAACTTGTTTGTTCCGCAAAATTTTCAATACATATACCACCATTTTTACATGGTACTGCATCACATTTAACTTGACAATTTGGTAGAACGCCATCTAAAACTAAAAATATAAAATAAAATTAATACATATTTAAATTAAATAAAATTAAGATGTTGACATCTGTCAGTAAAAACTAAAACAAAAATTATGTTAATTTATAATAAATTATATTTTTCTGTTCTTTTCTTTATTCGTTGTACGAGTATTGGATTCCTGAGTATTCTTAAAGAACTTACGCTTTCCTTTCGTATCATTTTGAATTTTCACTGTAGACAAATTATTAGTCTTAAATCTTTAAGTTAATTTCTTTCAGAAGATGGCGTTGCAGATTTCAAATGTATTGCTAATTTTATTTTAGTATTAGATATTTGGCTGTTTACATATGTGATTCTCACATTTTCTCTCTTCTAAAAATAATTTATTTGTAAGATGAAGGGTGTGAGAAACACATAGTAAATTCTGTGCATATGCTTAATAAGTACACGTGTAAATAGGCCCACTGATGGTATTTCTTTAGCTATACAATTTTATTAGGCAATTGGACATATTTTTATGATGGTTCGATTAGGACTTGAACTTGATATGTTTCTACATCATAGGTCAGATGTTACAATACATACACAATACAAAATTTACATTGATTAAAAATGAAATTAAATATTTTATAATTTATTTGGTAGGCAAGTGTAGGTATACACTACTTGCTATTCCTATAAAATTAAGGGCAAAAATTATTCTTTAACATTTGTTATAATTTTAATATTATGTAGGTATAATTTGAAAACTATTAATTTCAGTAAGGAAATTAAACTTAACTAAATAGGATATTTATAATAATTATATTTTTGTTTAAATTTAAAATAAAATAAACATTGTTTAAGAATGAAAAAAAGCATGAAATTAGCCTTTGCTATTATTATATTCCTTTAATAGAAATCCAAGACATATTTAACTATTTATATTGTACCTTAGAGGAAATTAAAAACAAAGAAATATTTTTGTTTATTTTGTATCCTTAAGGTAAACATATTTACAATATAAGAGAGAGAAAATAAAAAGCTTTGATAGTATTGGAAAGGATAAATAACCTTCTGGACCAAAATTGATTGCTTACCTTTAATTTATATAAGTTTATATATCATAGGAAAAAGGTATACTTTAATTTTTTTTCTCATTGTTTTTGTATTCTAGCCCTATCCGGTTAAAAATAATAAAATAAAAAATTATATAATAATAATGAAAGTAATAATAACGTGTAGGTTATGGGCATACGATATAAAGGAAACCGTATAGGTTCATATATGATTTTCTTCTAATTTTTTTTCCTTTAAATTTTATCAAATAAATAAATTGCTATCGGCATATTTTAAAGATTTATTATATAAAAAAGAAAATGAGTGGTTATTTTGTTAAGTATTTATTTTTTTTTTAAAGAATAATATTATTTTTCAAGAATTCAAGAAAAAAAAAAAAGTCCTGTAGATGACATAAACATTGGTAAGTTTAAATTATGATTAGGGTTTTGTAGAAGAATTTTAAATAGAGTAGCCGTTTTCCCATATAAATTAAAAAGCTTTAATGTTATTAGTTTAAATTTCTATATAAGTTTAGTGTTAGCTATTTAATCCAAATAATTATTTAAAATAGAATGAGATTTTGAAATTAAGTTTGTTGCCATTTGGTTTAGGACTAAGTTTTTTTTCGATTTTTCTACTTTATCAAGAATACTATAGAAATTCACTTTAATTTCAATCTTACAAACACCTAACTAAACCGGATTTAAGAACTGATAGGTTTTGTAAGTTCTGTGGGAATGGAAGGAGACCCCGATGCACTTTCTTAATGAGTGTGGAGCTTTGATCAATAAGACAATTGTTTCGGTGGCATATTTCAACGGAAAAATTGCAAGACCCTTCGCACAGTGTGGAGGGGCAAAATTTAGATGGCGGTACATTGTCATACAAATCTACGATCTACAAATCATTTCATTTTAAAATAATTGATTGATAATTCATTTAGAGATGAGAGACTAAATGATTTAATTTAATGCAAAATTTTTTAGGTAGCAAAATATGTAACTCGATTTAATTAATTATAAATTCAATTTTCAATTTCAAAATTTAATTAAAACGGTAACTCTTATTTCAATAATAATTAATATAAAAAATATAATAAAAAAATAAAATAAACTTAAGAAATTTATCAAAGACAAAATTAAATTAATTATGTGAATATGCCTAACTACTTGATTTTTTTACAATAATTTTACGAGTATCAAAGGTCATTTCTTTTGATCTGAAAAATTCTCTTTTTATATTAAAAAAAATATAATAAATATAATTCAATTAATTTTTAATATTATTATAATTAGGTTGAATAAATAAGAACATCTACATTTTCAATGGAAAATCACAAAAAAATTTTAAATTTTAATGGGAATTGAAAAAAAAGTTACAAGTTTTATATAAAGGGTAACAAAAAAAATTGCCTCATAATAGTACGAACAGTGGTCTTTACAACAGAATTTTTGATTTAAATATCTGTTCATAAGTAGTTTTAGATATCTAACATGAACATATGATTATAATGTCGCACTAGCTTACTCGTCTTAACATCTCCGATAACAAAATTAAATATAATGATACTTTATAAACATATAATAGTGAAAATATTTATCCGACTTATGTATTAGATCCGACTTGCAGAAAAGTGTTTGAATTTTCTAGAACTTGGACAGATCTCTATGTTGATTATGGTATTGTTTGAGCAGAAATACTCAAATTTCGCACCACTTGGGGTTATTTCTTTTAGTTCACATTTATTTTGAACTTAAGTTTTCCAAAAACTTTTGATTTAACTAGTCAGGCAAGGAAGTACGTAGGCGATCTTCACAGCAAACCAGAACCAATACACTCACTAAAAATAAATATTTTTTTAATAAAAATTTTCCAAAATACATTCGAAATACGCAATTATCCCTTTTTTAGTTTTCATTTAAAAAAAAAATAACAAAATAAACAATAAATTTTAACCATAAATTTGACAACATATTATTAATTTTGAAATATTTGAAAACTACGCATCCCAAAAAAAAAAAAATTATCAAGAAATCATAATTTTTTTTTTTTTTTTTTTGCTTTTTGTAGTCAAAAAATAAATCATTAATCTTTTCTTTTACAAAATCATAATAAATTTATTTATTGACATTACCGAGATTTAAAATCAAATTTATGTGACATATTTTCAACCCTTGATTATTTATTTTTTATATTTTTAATTTTTTTGTTTTTTTACGCCTACAAGTATACTATATGATTGTAACCGAAAATTATATCGTAAAATTGTAATTAATTCAATTTCTATAACAACCCGATAACAAAAATATTAAATTTTCTGTTTTATAGATTTTTTGGTTTGTATTTTGAACAAAAAAAAAAACAAAAATATTCCCCAAATGACTTTTGTAATTCAAGTTTTTGGAACAAAACCGAAAAAAACGGGATCAACAAAAATTATTACACGAAAATCACAATCATAAAAATACAATCCTTTTTTAACTACATATGTATGTACCTAAGTATTGTTATACAAATGTAACACCAAAAACAATTTTCAATTTCAGAAAAAAACACAATTTCATAATCCCCGAAACGGATAATAAGAAATCAAATAAACAATATACAAATGTATAATACAATAATGAACATTACATGCAGCACTGTTATACAACACATTATAATAATAATAACTGCGACGACATACCATGTGCGATATTTTTTTCATTTATTTTAGCTAAATCGATTAGATTTTCACCAATTTTCAGCCCACGTACACAACCAATATAACCTTGTAATTCAGGATAATCTAAATTTGTTCGTAATAAATTTGTTGAATCATAACCTCCAATATTAAATTGAAAATATTCTGTAGGTGGTGCTGGTGGTCGATGCGGTGATAAAACTTCTGTCCTCCCGAAATGAAAACAAAATAAAAAAAATAAAATTAAATATAAAATAAATAGTAAATATGAAAGAAAAAAAAAACAAGAGAAATGAAAAGGTTAACATCAATTTGTATCAATAAAATATAAAATAATAAAAATATTGAAAATAATGTAATAAAAAAAAAGAAAAAATAAAAAAAATACGTTAATATTAAATTATATTACGATGAATGTTGTACACACAATTGAAAAATAATAGTGTGATTTCGAGAATCGTTATTGTGTCTGAAAGAATGGGACAAATTCAATTTATTTGTAAGAATTTTGAATGGAAAAATTGCTGTTTCGAATTTCATTTTTTTAATTTTGTTGAAATTTGGTATAATATAATATATTCTCCTACATTATTATTTCAAATAAAACCCACTTGTTCTGTAGGGATTTTTGTTGCCCTGGTTTTATTGGCTAGATTTTAAGAGTTTAAATTCATTAAATTCAAAAATATTACAAATGAATTTTATTTTCAAAAATGATTTTTCCATGATTTGTTTAGAAATTTTCAGTTTTGGAGTGAAGAAGACACATCCTGAAGTGTCATAAAACTATTCCTAAAAAAAATTCACTCTGACTCGAATAACTCCATTATATCACGCTGTAGGTGCTCTGTAATATCCTCCATACAGTATGTGCTTTCAACTAAAATTAAAGGTAAAAACTATCTTCGTATCTAATATTAATTTTTATTTATAATTAAAAGATAATTTCTCTCCAAAATATAGAATATATATTTAGTAAGTTAATTTTATAGAAACATAAAACCCCCAAATATCTCAGAGAAGGTGAACGTAGAACGTGTATGCAATTCCTCTTATATAGGAAAAACAATTAAATTTAATAAGATATAAAAATCTAAAGCCATCTACCAAAATAAATGTTTATAAGTATTCATTAGAACTTCTCCTATATTTGATGGCAAAATTACGAACTATTTTATGTCTACCGAACACTGTAATAATGTGAGGGAGTTAAAGTTCTAAATTCATCATTTTAAATAATCATTTTTTTTAGTTGATTCCTATAAAATTTTCTCTTTGTACACATATTTGGAATGTCCTTGTAAAAAAAATCTGTTATACAGTTTTTGGAAAGTAATATAATAATTTTCGAAGAACGAAAATAACTGAAAAAATGAAAAGGATTCTAAAAGAAAATTTTTTTTTTGATTTTATTTAATATTTCTAAATGATATTTGTGTGAGACGAAAGACTACGTCATCGTATATGCGTACATAATTTTAGCAAAATATTATTTTATTTCATTTAATAAACCCTTAAAATATGTATGTGAATGGTATTGTTACAAAATTCGACATTTGTTATTATCCAAATCGAACTATATAGTTATAACAATTTCGTTTTCATTTATTCATAATTGAAACCCAAAAATAATATTCTCTTTACTTTTAGATATTATTGGAAAATGGTTAAAATTTAAAATTCATTTTGATTGAATCTAAGGAAAAAAGGATCGGAACAAAGAAGAAATGGCGATGGATAAAGGAAATTATGGCACATAAATTTATGTGAATTATAATTTTTTAATTAAATTTTGGTTTTCCTTTTATTAATTTTATTATTTATTTTAATAATATTTTGATTTATTCTATATAAATCATATAAAGAGAATTTATTATTAAAATTTATTTTACCTTTTTCTGGATTAATCCATGGTTTATTTGAATATGTTTCTAATAATTTTGTACCACGATCAATTGTTACATTTTTATCATTAACATGCATTATTGTTTGTATACCATCTCTAATAACAGCAACTTGTACACTTTTACCAGTATTCAATTCATTATTTGATATTGTTAAATTAATTATTTCATTTTCATAATTATACATAAATACAACTTCATTTGAATTTGTTATAAATAAATGTATAAAATTATTTAAATGATCATTTGCGTATAATACCAATGAATGTGTATCATAAGTACGTAAATTAATTAAAATATTTTGTGTTAGAATATCCTTTAACATATCACGTTCAACAATTGATGATGGTATCAATGTATCCTCTGGTATATTTAAATAATTTCGTTTTAAATATGATTCACGATTAATAAATGTTAGTGCTTTTTCATTAATATCTAAAAATATAGAAAAGAAAATAAGTAAAATAAATAAAATAAGAATGTGTAAATATATAAAATAAATAATTTGTAATATACGTATATGGTTGTATAGGCGTTTACAAAGGGTGTTTTTAATTTTTAACATTTTATACACTTCATTTGTTTAAGCTGTCAATTGTCAGATCGGAAAATACTTCTGAATTTTTAAGTTACTATTCACATATACGACGTAAACTACGATTTAATCTGACTCTTATAAAAGCCGTATATGTAATTTTGCTTGACATCAGACTTTGTCTTAAAGTCAGGCTTCGTCTTTGCTTTAAATTTACTGTCAGATTTTTTATAAGTAAAAAATGACAAGAAAGAAATAATTAGTTTAAATAATTAATTGTGAAAACGTTAGATGAGTTATTAATTTGACATTTTGACTTTATCAATTATCCGTCAGTAGACCAACTCTTAATTATTTCATTTGACAGTTTACTAAAACTTGATTTGCCAGTACGTGAAATCGATTGTTATTTGACATTACATCGATTGTTATTCGTCAGTTATCCCGGATTGATAAAATTGGTCGCTTCGAATGGATCTACCACTAAAACGAAATCGTTTACATGAAATATTTGCAAGAAATTGTATTATAAAATAAAAAAATTACATTCAAAATCACAATATTTTCGTTGCCTTTATTTTTATTTAAAAAATAAATACACCTTATATAAACATTACACGCATACGTATATTTATAAGGATAATTATCATTACAAGATTATAAAAATATGTAAATTCATACTATAATATATCTGTTATACACTTAAATTTTTATGTATACATATATTAGTATATACACATACACAATATTTAATGTGAATAAACATTTATTTCTAATGATATAATGTTAATAATAATGATAATAATGATGATAATGATGAATTGAATAAAATGAATGAATGAATTAATGAATGAGTGAATGTATAATGTAAATGAACGAACAAATAGAATTTATTTATATGTAACTCCCGGTTATGTACAATTAACATAACATACATATTATTATACTAATATATATATATATACGGGCTTGTAATTTATATAAAATTTTATAATTAGGAGGAATAATTTATAATGAATTATTTTTTGAGTTATTCATAATATTAAAGATGTTCCAATGTTTTTTTCATTAAGCTTAATAAAATAATTATTATACTTTATTTATGGTAATAATATTTTCAAGGAAATACATCCATTCCATGTATACATACATATTATATACATTAAAGTATGGCAGTGTTATATTATACCTAACAAGGATTTAAAATGATAGGAGGGTATGAAGAATTAAAATTAACTGCTGTATAAAGTTGAGTACATCATTAAACATTCGTTTAAATGTTTTTTTTTTTTATTTTTAGGTTATTTTTTAATTTACACAATTTTTTGAAAATTTTTTTTTCTTTTCCTCAAATAATGCTTTCCAGGGAAATATTTTTAATGATTCCACTAAAAAAAAAGGTCCATATTTCGATAATTTCATGATTTTGTGTAATTTTGTTCACTTTTTTTTAGTTTTAATAAGGAAAAATAAGTGTTCTCGAATGAATTGAAGAAATTTCATTCGAATTAATTAATGCGACATATAGAAGTCAAAGGGCAAAGCATAAAAAACACTAATTTAAAGAAAAAAAGTCGGAAAACTATAATCTGGGTGTCTGAAAATAAAATATTTCAGTTCTTGCAGAAAATTGAGAAAATACGTGTGTCTGGAACGCAATTCAAATAAAAAACAGCTAATTACTAGCCTCAAAAGCGGGAGTCGTTGTTTTTTACGACTTTTGTCGGTAACCAATTTATGTCGTAATTAAGTACCGCAAGAGTCGTTTAACCGCCATTAGTCAGTGTGTCGCAGACTTTGACAGTCATTCATATTTTTTGTTTTGTAAGTCTTTCTGTTGCAGATTGTTATTTAAAGTATTAAGTTGGAGATTTCAGATGTTAAAGAAATTAAAATTTATGATTTCTGAAAGAGAGAAATGATTACGAAAATTTCTTAATTGTCTTGTATATCAAAAATATTAATATGACAGTTAATTGACATTTTGACAGATTATGATTTTACTTAAGTCGATTGGAAATTTTTTGCTCCTGCGGTAGCGAAACTTTATTTGAACAACTTTAAAAAGTCAAATAGATTGAAATTTTATCGACGCCCGCGATTCACTCGCGGCCATTGTTGAAGGTTTTTAATATTTTTTTTTTTATTTGGCTAATTCATTCTGATTATGACTATAATAATCAAATTACAATTAAATTTTTTAAAATTAAAACTAATTAAAAACTAATAAAATTATTCAATTTGCAATATAAATTATGAGGTCAAGAAAAATTATTATAACATTTAAAATATGTCTAGTTTTACAAATTAATTTCTATATGAAATGAATAACACTAATAATATATTTTCCTATACACTTATGTACAAATCGTGTTCCTACATCCTCCTTCTCTTAAATACTTACGTAAAGTAATCATAAAACTACTTTCAATATTATGAAGTCTTAAATTTGTGACAATTTTATAATTATAAATATATATTATATGTTATAAATAAATTTTCATGAATAACTTCGCGTATGCAATTATAATAATTAATAAATTTTAGTTTCTTAATTTTATGTAGTAATGTTAAGTAAAGTGTAATAAACGCATTCTGCTGTATTAAAGTTGTCATGTTATGTGCAACTCTTATAATTTGCAATATTACTCGTATAGTTTCAACAACTAGTATAACACAATATAAATATTTATAGTTAAGATAATGATAGAAAAATAAGTTGTTTTGGATGTTATTTCCACACAAACACATAAATGCTATTTATATTAAATTTCTCCTAATTAAAATATAATGAAATGCTAGAAATAATTCCAGATGAACACTTTCTTAAATGTTAAAAAAAAAAAAATGAGAAAAATAAAATTTAGAAATAAATTGTTTTTTCTTATATGTACTCATATATGTAAATCTGTTATACATATATAAATATGCATAATAATATATTATAAATATAATATATTATTATATTTTTATATACTTACTTGTTTCACAAAATTGTCCTAAATGTGCCCATGGATTATTACAAACACATTGAAATGTACTCCACAGTTCTTTGCACTCTGCACCATTTTTACATGGTGATGGTACACAAGATGGCTTACAATCTTTAATTATTTCCGACAAATGAACAGACATATAACTATAAATGTCAAGAATTTCACCATTAACAACTAAACCACGGAAACAACCGATGAGACCAGCTTTAACAGATAATTTTTTAAGAAGATCCCTGAAGAAAGTAAAACAAAAAATAAAAAATGAAACTATAATAATAATAATTATAATAAAATATTTTGTAAAAAAATAATGTTATACATATAAACAAACATAATACCAAGGAATTAAGAATTTATTCAACAATTTTATATACGGATAATTTTGTTGAAGAAAATAAGTAAGGAAGATAAAATTTCATTATTTTATAAAAAAAATAAAAGTAGGAAGGAGTATGCAAAATAATATTGTAATACATAATATAAACATTTCTATATACACATATTTAAATATATATAATGCAAATATTACGTATATAATATGGAAATTCATTTCTTACAGAGTGAATCAACGTATAAACATGTAACATACTTATAAGATTCGATTAAATGAAGATAATTTGAATTTATTTGTGGAAATAATTGTGAGCGGGGTATGAAAAACTTTGAGAATTCACTATTTGAATGGAATAAAATGACGACGTGAGTAGAAGTTACAGGTTTGCGAAAAAAATTACCGCAAAACTGGGCAATAGGACTGGCGAAGTGAATATTCTCAATAGGTGAAGAACGAATAAGTAAGTTTATAACAATTTTAAGTTTAGAAGAGTTTTTTTTACATTAACAGAAAATTGGGTTGTCCTTTTTTTCAAAACAGAGGACAAATTTATTCCATTTAATTTTATAAATTGATAAACAAGAGCCTATTGAAAATGTAGATATTACACAAGATTTAAGCGAGCAGATAATTTTCAAAAAGATTTAAATTTGGCAAAATATTTACATCTGTATAAAATATCCTTAACCTATCTATTAAATAAATTACTGTTCAGTGAGCCAATTAAAATTCAATCCAATATATAAAAATTTTCCAAATTGAAAATATATTATTATTATTTCTTCTAATGAATTTATAATTAAAATTTCAAAATATTTGTAATTTATTAAAATCTTGAATGGGAAATAGCTTTTAAATTGAAAATATTTATTAAAATCAATGAAGATAAAATCATTTTCTAATGGTTCCTAACTTGTTGATTGTCCTCTTAGAATTAAACTGCGTATTTGGTAAACGAATACCGTGATCACAACATGATTTATGTGTTCAAGTATTTTGACAATATTGATCCGGGCGAGGTTTAAGAACAAATATTTAAGATAAATATAAATTTTATGTAACACGGCAACTAAAACTAATTTATTAAAATCAAAATTTGGAGATAAGACAATTATGAGAAATGAACTTGTCGACCTCCGAGATCATGCGATTTCACATCTTCTGATTAGTTACCGATTGGTCACGTAAAGGCAAAAAACATCGGCAAGAGCTACTGCGATTATCATATACCCGGATAAGTTCCTTAACATTCCTAAAATTAAATTTAAATTTTTTGTATTATTATTTACAATTTTTAATTTTTTTTTTTGAGTCAAATAAACAATGAATTAAATACTTACGCTGTTGCACCACCAATATACATGCTACCCTCAAATGGTCCAAATTCTTCATGTGCTTGTAAATCAACCATTTTATAATCAGTATTTATCATAAATCTAACATGATATTCATTATAATCAATCCAAATTTTATGCCATTCACCACCATTTAATTTACGATTTGAATCAATAACCAATTCTTTTGTAGTACCAGTATTTAATGTGAAATTAAATGTCAATTGATAATCACCAGTTAATGCAACCATAAATGATGGATATGATGGACGTATAGGCGGTTGAAATAATAGTATAGCTTTTTCACCAGTTGTACGAAATGAGAATGCAATATCACCTTTACGCCAACCAGGTACTTCAATATACGATTGAGATGTGGTAAATGTCACCACATATTTCTGTGTATCTGTTTTTGTGTAAAGATTAAAGAGAGAAAAAAAAAAAGAAAATGTGAATTTTTTTTGCAAATAAAAAAAGAAAATTGAAAAAGGGAAATTGATGAGTGCTAACGAAAATTCCTTAAAAAAAAAAATTCAAAAACAAATTGACTTTCACTTTAAAACCATTTTACGTATAGGTTTACATACATTTTCATCGGTTATGTCAGAATCAATATGATTCATGAAAAAATTGAGGAAGGATTAAATTTTTTTTTTCTCTAGAGTGGTCGCATTTCAATTTTATGATATTAATCTGTAAATATGACAATCAAAATTCACGCGAACACAGGCCCAAATCAATGATGGTGTACGTACAAGGTGCTTTAAATTGAATCATTAGTAAAATTGCCAGAAATAGTTGATATTGACGAGAAGCTGTACATTGTAAATAGATTCAAAATAGACTAGGTTTAAATGGGATATATCGCAGGGTTGGTATCTATTAATAATCGCATTCCCAAGACTCCTAATCGTTAATTTTTCTAATCATTAACATTCTTAATCTTTTAATTCCATTGTCATTTGTTTTTGGTAAAAGTCTTGTTATAGTTTCCAAATAACTCGATTTTGATGTGACCTGAAAATCTAGCAAAAAAATTATTCAAAAAATTGATTAAAATGTAGTAAATTGCAAAAAAAAAATTCTTCATATTAAAATTTTCGAGACTAATGAAGAATTCATTCGATTTTAGTTTCAAAGTGTATAAGGATTAAAATGAAATAAGTACAAGATAATTGATGAAAATTCGAGTAGATTGTAAAATACGCTATTATCGACTTACACGTGTTTGTATGGTTTGTGAACAAAAAAAAATATTCAAGAATATGAAATTGAGTAAAAAATAAAAAAATAAAACGTGTGATATTTTAAATATTGAGTGAGAAAAAAAAAGAATTCATTATAAACCGTTATAAACATACTTATGCACCTACCATTTAGGTCTTTGAATAAAAAATGGTACGAAACAACGACACGATAAGATAAATGAATTGTGCATTCATATGAAACAAATCTTCTTTTTGTCTGAATTATTTGAAATGGATCAGATTAAAATCTATAATGCAAGAGCGCAAATCACTGGCAAACTGTATAATTTTGATGCTACATACGAAGTTTTGGAATTGTAAAGTATTATGGCAATGAAAACCCAACTTTAAGAATTCAATGGACAAAATTTTCAATTGGATTATGTGTACAATTTTCCATGTGGTATGGTACATTGACAGTATGCATAAGATGCATTGATGTGCCAGCCATTTTTTTTATATGGAAGTGGTAATTTTTGCCCTAACACCAAAAAAAAAATCTGATGTGGTCAGCACATAACCGACCGCATTGTGTATTGTCTAGTAAAATGAAAGTGTTACAGAATATTATAAAAATGTCTGTTAAATACTTCTTTCCAATTTTTAGGACATTAGTAAGCTTATAGTTAACATACTTAGAAAAATGTAAATTTGGCTCTTAGTAGAGTTTCGCTTTGTGCTACTCGAATTCCCTGAAATGCTCGCCAGTTAGTTTCGGTAACAACCAGAACTCAAATATCAAATTTCAAGAAATTCCATCAATTTGTTCTGTGGATATGGTGAAAAATGTAAAATCGGCCCGCAAATCAGTTCTCGAGCCCTGATCTTTCCAAAAAAGTTATATGTTCATTGCTTTAATATGAGGAATTCATATATTAAATTTCAATGAAATCGGTTGATTATTTCTCTTTATATACACAAAAGTGTATGTTTGGCCCGTAGTAAACGTCTAGTTGCCGATGCCTGATCTTTCCAAAAAATTTACATGTTCATTGTTTTAATACGGGGAATTCATATATTAAATTTCAATGAAATCGGTTGATTATTTCTCTTTATATACACAAAAATGTATATTTGGCCCGTAGTAAACGCCCAGTTGCTGATGCCTGATTTCTTCCAAAAGTTAGGAATTTTTGCGTATGATCGAGCAAAGCTTATATATGAAATTTCAAGTAAATCGGTTGAATACTTTCTTCAAAATGGTGAGAAATGTAAAATCGGCCCGCAAATCCGTTTTCGAGCCCTGATCTTTCCAAAAAATTTATATGTTCATTGTTTTAATACAAGGAGTTCATATATTAAATTTCAATGAAATCGGTTGATTATTTCTCTTTATATACACAAAAATGTATATTTGGCCCGTAGTAAACGTCTAGTTGCCGATGCCTGATTTTTTCCAAAATATACGAATTTTTGCGGACGGTCGAGTTGAGCTTATATATAAAATTTCAAGTAAATCGGTTGAATATTTTCTTCAAAATGTTCAAAAATGTAAAACAGGCCCGCTAAAAAGTGCAGTTCCCGAGGCCTGATATATACCAAAAGTTGATCGATTCGTGCCATGGTGGAAACAAACTTACATATAAAATTTCATCAAAATCGGTTCGACCGAACTTGAGATACACGCGTGCACACACAGACCGACAGAAAGACTGACCGACAGACCGACAGGTTGCTAAAAATAGTTTATTTACACTTCCCTACTATGGAGAAGTACGTTCCCACCGAAAACTCGATATGCAAAATTTGTTGCTATCACATAACCTACCTATTGTTTACACAATACGGTCGGTAATAAAATTATATGGGAAAATTGCAAGTGAAAATTATTCGGATTACTTGTAACAAGGAATATTTTCTAAAAAATTTTATCAAAAGTTCCTGAGGCAAAATGCTTGGTACATATTGGATAAGTGGAAAATTATTTGGTACAAGTTGGTACAACCAATTTTTTTAGCCTAATCAATTAGAGATTTCTTCAAGCAAAATTGGTTATAAAAGCAAATCAAGATTTGCATTAAATATTTGGCGAAAATGTTAAAGAACGGAATGTTGCAACGGAACGGAGTAAATTGGTTATGATTATATAATTTAGCCTATAAATTCGGCAATGAATTCTAGATTATAATTGAAAGCAAACATTTAATTAATAAAATTCTTAACAACAACATTTGAATTAAGAATTTTGATCATTCCAGGAAAAATATAAAAAATTATCATTTTGCACGTAACATTTGCATATTTGTGTCAAATATTGTGGAGGTTTCCAAATTAAACAACGAACAAAAAAAAAAGAATATAATTAATGATATTAAATTATATGAGATGAAGAGTTCATTTTTCTACTCCGAATTCTGTTTGGCACTTTTTTCTCCCCCTATTTTACATTCTTTCATTTTATATGCATTTCGCTTTAATTGAGCCAATCGTAATGTAATTAATTATTGTTTAATAATACCGGGTGCAAAAAAAAAACAAAAAGTTGAAAAAAAATAAACGCAAGATTAAATTTTAAATATCTGATAGGTTTCAGTTTTCCAATAAAAAACGTTAAATATTTAATGAGTTCCAATTAAAGCAAAAGAACCAAGTTTTATGTGATGGTTAACTAAATGGTAAAATGATACTTTTGAAAATGAAAGAACTTCAAAAAAATAGAAAAAAAATAAGGAGGAAAGAAAAGTATTATAGAATTTGTGCTTATAAGTGTATTGAGAAATCAAAGGATAATAATGAACATTGTATGGTTTGAATATGGGCATCTCTTCTTTTTGGAATATTAGAAGTTTAAAAAGGTTGAAATTAAGTAGAATTTGAAAAGGATAAAAAAATCGTTTGTATAGAAAAAAAAAATAATTTAAGTATAATTTAATGGAATCGGGAAATTTTTATAAAATGAATTTGAATTTTTTTTTAGATTTTCACAAAATCCTCAAAATTCCCCACGATTTAGTTAAATCCTAAAATAAATATTATTGTTGTGCACGGTTAAAATTAATTTTAAAGCAATTTGTTCCCAAAAAAAGAGATCTAAAAAGAGACCAAGCTAGTAGCCAGTCAAAGTTTGTACATATGGTAGTAGGCCGTTTGATTCTAGTCAAGTTCGCCGTCCCAATACTCCTATAAAATGCAAGCTCTTTAATTTTTAGCATTTTGATAAACCTCGAAAAGTTTTTTTTCCTTTCATTCCAAAAATATCACTGTTTTTAGACTTTTACAGAGAAAATTCGAACTTAGTTTGTATGAGATGAGGGTTCTGATACTGCCCTGTCTTTTATGATTTTCTACCGAGAACAATTAAAAAACTTTTATTTTTTATTACAGGTGTTAAAAATCATGTAGAGATAATGATGAAGACGATTCAAATTTTTGTCAAACCTATTATTAGCGGACGGTTTGAATCGAACCTAAAACGTAGTTTGATGGTCACAAACTTCCTAAAACTAGTAAAACTGACTAGTTTTGCTTAATCGTGTTTTTGTGGCTACACTATTTGAAGGAAGACACGGAATTGCTGTTTCATTGTAGGCTAAATCGAGAGGTCTCGTTTTTTTTTCAGTCATCCTGTTCTAATATTTTCTGCTCTATAATTTGAGCGATCTCAATATTTCCATTAAACTAAGCTCCAAATGCACTCTACCTTTCATTGTGGAGTTCTTAATTTCATCTCAAATCTCTATAGATGTCACTAATGCGTACATACCAGGAAGAACCCGCCATATTATGACACGCCGTATTCTGAAAAGTTTGTATTTGTTTGATATGTATTAGCTGTTCGCGCAACTTCATAGCTGTTTACCATATATCCATGTAGAACTCAACAGTTTTCCCTATATGTCAATAGTTCTCTTCTTGAAATGCTCTTTTCATCTGAGCTTGACATTCATTTTGTATTTTGCTGTATTTTGGATTGATACACTAACTCCACTCAAATTTAACTGTAGTGGGTTTATTAAATTTTTGTTTGTGAAATTTACATGTACAAATTTACTTTCATTTAGTTTTATTTTCCATTTATTTGTCCATTTACTTATACAATCATACATTCTCAAAGATAATCAAATGAAAATATTTCCTTTATAATCAAAAATAAAAATATCAATTTATTTTAAATATTTATCGTCAGAGGGCTTTTATTCATAAAAATAAAATAGAAATTCTCAGACATAAAAACCTATAAATTATTGTGAGATATTTCAAATTGTTTATATGTTTGTAATATTTTCACTACATTTCTTTTTAATAAGTATACACACATTTGAACATAAATTTAATTTAAATATAAGAAAATCTGTTAATGGTGTGTATGTAGTATGTCATGTGTATAATGTACAATATGTAATCGATAAAATAGGCAAAATATTTACATTGTCTGAGTCTAACAGCCAATTATAATAAGTAATAATATTACGGGATGCTCAGCAATGTAGAGCATTCAATATTAATTCGCTCAGCCTCTCTTTCAATATTAAATATCACAACTATACTTATTACTGTAAATTACTTATATGGCCCTAATACAAAATTCTTATATAATAAATATTATGCATGAGTTATGAGCTCAATGAAATAAATAATTTTAAAATCTTAAAATTTCATATTATGATTATTATTTAAGAGGCCATTAATTTTAATTTGGTCCCCGTTAATAAATTAATATGCAGGAAATTCATGAAATTATGAGCTCAAATTAATTGAAATGTATTGTACATAGTTTAAAAATATTATATAAAATATTTAGTTATGGATGTATATGTTTATGTTTCGTTAATAGCATACAATTAAAATTTATATAATAATTTTGAACAAATTAATCCTATTCATTTAAGCGTAAAATATTAAATATTATTACTGTTATTATTAAAATATGGTTGGTTTATTTCTTTATAATAAAATTATTATATTTGAAATTTAGATAATTATTTTAATAAATATATTTTTTGAAAAACTATGCGTTAAATCTGGTTAACTGAAATTAATAAAATAAATTTCAATTTAAATTTTCTAATATTGGAACCGCATTAAACACCACTTTTAGAGTAATGAAAAGCAGGTGTAATTAAAAATTGTATTGAATGAATATTAATTAAAAATTTTTATTCTGAGAATATTCAATTTGAATATTTTCTATTTATGATATTAAAATTGGTGAGGGCGTTGCAAATTAAATAGAATGAAGGATAAATGAAATCCTATTTTAAGATTAAAAAATATTCTATTTTTAGAACAAACTGCTGTTACCTTCTAATTAATTAATAAATCTCATAAAATAAACAGGAAAAGGGAAGCCAAGACGATCTTCATTTTCATAAATTTTTCCCATTCAATACCATAATATTTAATTTAAAATGTGTATGTATGTATGGTTATTCATTGTTGTTATTTTAAGGCTTAAAAATTCCTTTATTATATGCCTACTTTTGTTTTGATTTCAAAATTTTGTACCTTTTTCCTACTTTTTTTCTTTCAAGCTTTTGTTTTACAATTGACCCATATGAAATGTGGGAGTAAAACAAGAATTGAGAAATGAAAAACAAAAGATATTAGTATTATCATTGAATAATGAAGAAAAAGAGAAACAGAAAATGGCAATATCTTCATATTATGATGGTATGAAGGGCATTTTGGGTGTACAACATTCTTCAAATCCATAAAATAAATTTATTATAATACCCAAGTATACCATTATCTCATTTATTTTGATAATTTGCTTCTCTCTCTATTTTTCTCTTTTTTCTTTTTCTTCGTTACATAGGAAAATTCTCAATCTAAATAAAAAAGAGACTTTTTTCTAAATGAGAGGAAATACCGTATGTAAGGCACGAAACACCATAATTCAAAAATAATAGGTTGATAAGATAATCGACTGTATGGCCAATATTTTTGGTTTTTAAGACTTTATTCGAGTGTCAAAGGCAATGGTTGTCAAATAATAGGTAAAAATCAAATTTTGAGTAGCGGTATTCAAATAATTGGATTCAAATATATGTATTAGGGTCGGCAAAACGGAATAATGTAATATTTAATCATAGCTGTACGATAAGCTTTCGAAGTACGTGTGAAATAAATTAACCCTTTATTATAAATTTTGAGTACGGAAAATTTTGGGAAGATTTCTTTCATCTAGTCAACCGTACTGGAGATTTTATGTCTATGAAGATCCAACTTTTTCCTCAATGTGCGAAATTTTCTACTGTTATCGTTATCCAATTATTATTGGATTATTGTAATAGCCCTTATCATTTCGAAAGAATTAGGAAACATTCCGAACACTCGTTATTTTTCATCGGAACGGATTCAAAAAATCTGATGAATATTTCATTCTCAAATAATTTTCTTCAAATTAATTTTTTAAGGTAAATGTCCTCATAGCAAACTCTTCATTAAAATGTTAGTGTAATTCTTTCGTTCCTGATTGCCAAAAATTATGAAAGTGTATACACAATACTGAGATCGGAACAAGAAACAACAACTACAAAAATAACAACAACTAGGATAACCATAATAAATTCTTTTCTGAGCGTTAAAAAATCCTGTGTTTTAATAAAACACAAAGAACATCTATGTATATGTACGCAATTTTATGTACAGGACACAAAATAAAGCAGTGAATGATGGAAAAAAATCAAAAAAATAAAAAAAATCATGTTTTCATAAAAGAATAAAATAAAAACAAACTAAAAACATACTTGTTTCAACACATTCCAAAGGTCCTAAAGTGATTCTGCCTTGTGCTTCTTCATCAAGATCCTTTTGCTGTAGGAAAAACATATTTGTTATACCAAGACTATGAGGTTCAACATAGTATCCTTCATCTGAATTCCATTTGTTTTCCTTGACATCACAATTGCATGATTGATTTGGGTCCGTACATGTTTTGTTGACGGAACATGGACAACCACCTCTGCATATGTATGTATACAGCAAAACACACACAATTTATGTACAGTTGAATGTGTATTAAAGAAACAAGTAAAAAAAAGAAAAGAAAAGAAAAAAAAAATGGAAAAATTTAATAAAAATATAAAAAAAAAAATAAAGGAGACCAGGAGGGTAGAAAAAAAATTTTGTTTTTTATTTTTTGTTTTCATTTTTTTTGTGTTAAAAAGTTGATGAAATGATTGAAATATTTTGTTACAGGATATTTTGAGTTTCTTATATTTATTACGGGTATGGTATAGGCAGAAAGGTAGAAAATTTAATATAGAAGAAGGGATCAAGTCTATATTCATATATAATGGAATTTTATAATAAAATGAAAGTGAGGAAAATATCAACTGGATAAAGGGAAGAATGGAGATTGATGTAAAAAAAGAACAAGACAAGAAATTCCATATATAAAAGTTAAATTGGTTAAAATAAATTGGAATTTTTCTATTAAATCTTTTATACTCGTATATGAGATTTGCAAATATGAATATTAATATAAATTTAAGGCTTAAATTACGACAGGTTTGCATTACAAACCTGTCTTAAATAGACCCTTTAGCTGATTTTGAAAACCAAAGGCCGGAAACATACGGAAGATGGCGCTCGTATTCATTAAATAAAATTCTTCCTGTATAAAAGTGACGGTGCAAATTGGTGATTATTGAATATTGGAATGTGCCCTCTAATGTGGCCTTTTCGAAAACTTCTTTCTTAAAAGAAATTTTGAAAACTTTTCTCAAACTAAATGTATTGATTTGGTTTAGAAAATTGAACATCCTGTCACAATAAATCTCACAAATAAATCTCGGCGCTTTGGACAGCATTCAAAAGTAAAACAAGTAAAATATGAATTACGAAAACTGTTATACCAATTATAAGTAACTTAATATATTGCGGCAATTAGATTTTATTGTGAGTTGGTGTACCCTTTTGAAATTAATATAGTTTTTGAAAATGAAATAAATAAAAACATTTAAATTAAAAAAAAATACTTACCTTTTAACATTACCTAAAAAATCTACTGTCATATTATTATCGGATGATGTAAACCATGTTGCTGCATGTAGTTCTAATGGCGCCTTATAACAATCATATTTAACATATTGTGTACAATATAATGAATGTGATATTAATTCTTGTAACATTTCTGGTGAGAATTCACGATATTTAATATAAAAACTAAAATCTTTATCTTTAAATGATCTAACATCAACTTGTGATGGTAAATTATGTTCAACAATTGTTTTTGTTGCATTCTCTAAACTTTGAAAATCACATTTAACATGTGCCGGCGGATAAATACCATTACCATCAATATCAATTAAGTACACATCGGATTTTGTATAACCAAGTAATGCTAATTCTTCACATGTCTTACGATATTTTGTAAAATGACAATTTTTACCAATATAACCAATATCTTTACAATCACATGTAACACGATCATCTTTAACAAAACATTTACCACCATGTTCACATGTATTTGGACGTTTACATGGATCAATATAATTACAATTATCTAATGCAACTTCACCAACAACACGTTCTGTTTTAATAACATAACGTGGTTCAATTAAATAATCATTTATTTCAATATCACGAATACAACCGATTAGACCAGATGCAGCTGATTTTAAACTACTACCAATTATAACTTTATCACCGATATTAAATTTTAAATTATATTTAAGTATTTGTGTATAACGATAATCAATTGTAAATTTAATTGTATCATTTCTATAATCAAATTCTATGCTATGCCATGAAGTGGCACGATTTATTTTAATAACAATTGAATGTGTTGAATTATTCGTGCTATTTGGCATTAAATCAAAACTTAATTTATCGGAACTTAAACGTATCTAAAAAAATTTTTTTAATTTTCAAGGTAAATAAAGGTGTGGGTATTGTTAAAAGGATATGTAGTCAATCGTGTGTAAAAGGAATCAAGTAAATATATAGTTTTTTAATTAATAATCAGGTCAAATCGTTTAATGTTGTGACCGTCAAAATATATAGAATATGTGAATCAAAATGAAATGGAGTGTAAAATAAAAACAAAATAGGTGAAAAAGAGAGAATAATGATGACTAGGACGATGACGACAACAACGACGACGACGAGGACAACGATGAAGGTAACGATTACGGTAACAACGACAATGTATAGGACGACAATATTCGTTGTAGACGATATGATATAGATGATAGTGTTAAAAAAAAGTAAAAATAAGTTTAGGGTGAGAGAAAAATTTCGTATATGTATAGGAAATGAGAAAGGAAGGAATACAGCACCGCCGTCAATGACACCATCGATTCGGTTAATAAATAGTAGTAAGGTAGTGGAATACCGTAAAAGTTCATCATTATAAAAATATCGTTCGTTATGTGAAGGTGTTTGTATTGATTGTTGGTTTTTGTTTTAGTTGATGTATGTTTTCCCATTTTGATTTTCCATTTTTTTTTTTTTGAATTTTCAAGTTGTCGTTGTTGAAATTTCATTGTGAGCGAGCATGGTAATGGCAAACCATTAAAGTTCAGGTTTTTTTTTTTGTTAAATGTTTTCCACAATTCCAGTATAGTTGATTTATTTATTGATTTGTTTTTCACACGAATATTTAAGCGAAAAAAATAAAAAAAAAAAAATTCCAATAATTTGCACCACACGTTGTTATCAGCAAAATTAAGAAACACAAAATGAAGTAAAAAACAAAAGAGAAAAAAAAACTAAATGTTAAAAAAATTTAAAAATAAATAAAGAAAAAAGTGATGATCATTCATTAAAAAAAAAAACAAACAAATAAATTGAAATTATCAGGTAGATACTTGGTGGAATTCAGCAGTATTCCGATTAAAGAACGGATATAAATAAATTTTCTTTACAACCAGGTGACCATTTTGTAAATACTCAAATTATGATTTACTTATAACTGAAACTGTAGACTTATTCAGTAATTAAAGTGGAATTATTGAACAAGTGAAGCTTTCGATTTTGAACAGGCATTTACGTTCGGCATTTCAAACTAATTCTCACAAGAAACGTTTAATAATCTTCATTTAACATTCTTTTTCCCGTAACGTAATTGGTCCTCTTTTCTGCAACTATAAGAAATAGAATGACATAAAACGAAAAGTAGAATTTTGCTCGTGGTGGTAAGAAGTATTTCAAACATTAATAATAGTAAGTTATGCTTCTTTTCTTGTCACCAATCAAGAAAGTTGTATACTTAATGGAGTTGTAAGCTTAGTCAGCAAGTAAGAGTTACCAATATGAGAAACCAGAAAAAGCCATTGTAGATTGGGTTTCTTATAAATGACAATTACATTCGTGTTATTTAGGATATATTGTATATCAAGTTCAGTAAGACAAATTCAGATCTAGCATTTTACTGATATTTATGAATTTAAGATCTATTTCAGAACTTTAATGCTAAGTTTTAATCTGGAAAAAACCCAGACGACAAGTTCTTCCAAAAGGCTGTTCAAATATGACGAGAAAAAAGAATAGAATTTTGTCAAAATATGTTGTAGGTCTAAAAAGAAAAGTCGGGGAAAAAACGGTAGGAATCACATCAGTGTACATGAAGAGTCTTAAAGGCAAACAAAACGTTGTCAACGTGACGAAAATCAATTATTTAATATTCTTCTATAGTACTGAATAGGAGGAAATCTAAATTGGAAAAGTGAAAATTAAAAAGGAAAGTAGGTGTGATGTATGGTCACTTTATTTAAAGTTGAGAAAACAAAGGTATGTGTAAAAAAAAAAAAAAATTAGAGTTTATTTGTTTTTTGTTCCCCCTTTTGTTTTTCTTTTTTGTTAATGATAAAAACAAGAAAATTCAATTTACTTGTTTCTTGTTTTCTTGTTTTTTCTTTCCATTGTTACTGAAAATAAAAATGAATGATTTTCATTTTTTATAATATGGTCTTCAGTGTCTTTGTTTTATGCCCTCTACTATTCTATCTTGTTAGAATATGAGAAAGGAAAAACAAATGTATTAAATATTTATTATCCAAGAGTAGAAGGCATGTAACAATTAAATGATAAAATGTTTAAAGAAAAAAACTGAAAAAGAAATTTACGCATTTTTTTCCTTAATATCCTTGATAGAAATTTTTTTTCTTCGAAAACTATTCGTATATGTTAGATGAAAATTGAGTTTCCTGAAATCTACAAAAATTAAAATTAATTTGAAAAAAAAAATTTAGTTTGCATGTTAAACTCCGAGTATTTTAATTTTTAAAACACATGATAGTTTTCGGACAATAGATTGACAAGAGTCCTGATTTCCATATCTATTCTGACCAGCAATATGAATTTGTAAAAAACAAGGCTTTCCCAGCTACGTATTGTTGCTAGTGGGGCGCTAAAGTTATTCTTGTACGATTCGGATTACTTTTAAGAATTTTAGAACAATCCGACAGTAGTTTTTTCTGGTTTTTCTCCGAAGAGAATACATTGTTAAATTTATTAGCCACATATTCATATTTCATGTATCTTTTTTTATTCAGAATTTAAATAATCGCATGAATAACAATGTCATAAACATAGTTATGTATAGAAATACGAAAAAAAAAAATAATTTTTTTTTACCCAAAAATATTTTCATAAATTTTATTTTTATAGGTCTATTTATACCAAAAAAAAAAAAAAAAACGAACTGTGTTAGTTTAGCGGGTTATTATAAATTTTCCATTTCGGTTCCAATTCAAACTGAAGTCGAAGGTGTACCTAGTTAGGTAAATTAGAATTGTTGCAGTCATTCATTTTCTGCTTGGCCGTTCGTTTATGAACTCTGGGTGAGATAAGCACTACAGAGATTTCTTCTCTCTGAGAGATAACAACAAAAGAGTTTTAGTCTCTATGAATAAAAGGAGAATCACAAATTATTTGACCTTAACATATAGTAAAATTATTGGACATCAACCAAGTAGAATTATTTGATCTCAGACGAGAATCATTTCGAAATCAGGTAAAGTGGTGCTTACATTATACAAAATTGAGTTTAGTTAATTCGGCCTTTGGAGACAAAGTTTGCAGAAATTTTTGGATCAGTTGTAAGCTTATTAAAAAATAGTTTTCGGATTCATAAAATTCCAGAGTAATTGTGGTATCCCAGGATTATTAAAGTAAACCCTACCTATTTTCATTCCAAATATAACTATGTACATTTTTTTTGTTACTGTAGTATTTATTATATAGAATATTATTACGATTATACTTGGCATCATCATTTTAATGCTATAGTAAAAAAAAAGGTTAATGTTTTTATTCGTTTACAAAGTTTATTTTTATCAAATATATGCAATCAATTGGGATAAAAATAACTGATGCAAGATATTTTTGTCAATTTGAAATACAAAATGAGTAAAAAAAAATTCCATATTTATGAGATTGTTGTGTTTTTCAGGAAATTTATTTGGTTTTATATATATTAAAAAATAGTAAAATATATAATAAAAACTATTCAAAGGCAAAATAATAAAATAAATAGTCATAGATTTTTTTTTTGTATTTTGCACAAGTGGATTTTCAAATATTAAAACTAGCGTGAAAAAATTGGATTAGAGTAGCTATATAGAACTGAATAATGTTAATCCTATTAGAAACTTATATTAAATATATCATTTTTTGAATTAGAATGAATGAGTTTTCAAAGGACGTTATAAACTACCACTCAATTTGTAATACTAATGAAAGATATTGTTAATATCACGATTCACGATACACTTTGCGCTGAATTCATTCCAGTCCCTTGACAAAGTTCAGCAGATCACCAACGCGTGCTCTTCCCGAAACATTAAAGCCATATCTTCCCAAAAAAATTTCTTTTCCTTCCAGGGTCTTTGTCGTTCCAAAAGTTCGCCCGCCATTCCAAAGTAAATTTGCCTTTTTCCTAGTTTCTTCATCTATAAAGTTTTTCAACACCCCCAGGGGCGGAAGCACCCGAAGAATCGCCCTGCTAACAACCTAAATGGCGACGATCTCAGTTGAAACACCGAACTGCAAGCACCTCGACCTTAAATGCACTATTGTGATCCGACAGCCTAACAGATATTTCCACACTTCCACTTCCTCATAGAATACTTCAGCTCTAGCCACACTTGATGTCTTGGAATCAACAGCGTAAATAGAGAAACCTCCGGTCCACCAGGGCTTTCTATTCAATTTTTTCTTTTCGGAATCATTGACTATCAGTCACCTGAATCAAATAATCAATTCGCTGTTCCGACATCCAACCAGCACTTGTCCAAAGTTCTACTGTGAGTGTAGCTCGTAGTCCTCAAAAAGCTCGTCGCACAAAGTCCCAAAAAAAAAAGATTATCAAAACAGAAAACTGTCAAGGCAGAAAGCTATGAAAATTGTTCTCCTCAAACTGAACTTGAACAAGTATTCGACAGCTTTCTAGATGGAACACTCTATGAGTCTCTAGTTCGTAAGCTCTATTATGAGTCAGGAAACTTTAAGATAGGCAGGCTGACAGAAAAATTGGTTAGACTCAATTTATTATTATTAACAATGCAAACAAGTAGAATGCGACTAACAGACGTCTGTTAAATATTTAGAGTGCAATTTTTTTTTTAATTTTTCCTTTTTGAAAACATGTCAAAATAAATAAATATTAAAAATATTATGAAGGCAATATTTTTTAAATAAACATAAGCTCGATGCACTTTTTTTAATAATAACGAAATTTCAGGAAAATATTAATTTTTTTAACTATTATTTTACGCATTATTGACGATAAACTGTTATTGACATTTGCTAATTTCAAGAGTTTTTTAATTAATAATTTAATATAAATCGTCTAATATTTAAAAAAAACATAATAATTATTCCCGCATTATTAATAATAGGAAAT